GCCTTAGGTTGCCTACCCCTGCCTTAATCCATGCCATTCCCACTAGTGAGCCAAGGAAGCGGCCGGAGGACACGCTTTCCCAGCACCTTGATTTTGGGATGCCTCGGCTTTGTGCGTAAGCCTCTCTTTAAGGCTCGGGTGTTTTGTGTGTCTGTGTGAGTGTGTGTTGTGTAGGCCCCTGCCTGGCACACCTGTCCGGCGATGCCAAGGGGTCTGTCTGTGTGCCGTCTAGAGCTGCTCGCTTGCTTTCTCCCTCCTGCGCCTGGTATGTCTTCTTTGGCAGCGGCGGAGCCCAGGCTTCCTTCTCAACTCCGCAGTTTCGGAGTATGGCGGTGGCGGCGGCGGCGGTCGCGGCTTTTGCCGCTCTTCCCACTGCACCACCACCAGCAGCGCTACTGGAGCAGCCAAGCAACCTGCGCCAAGATTTCTGCGCCGGGAAGCCGGAGTGCGCCATGGACTTTGCCTCCGCCGGCCTCCCCAAGCAGCAGCAGGGCAGCCATTGCTACACCCGCCTCTACATAGAAAACCACAGACACCAGGAGTGGGAGGGAAAGTCAGGGAGAGGAACCCATGCTTTAAAATGGAGGACGTTTTTGGACAGAAGGCTGAAAGGGAGGACCATGTCCTGGAAAAGGAGGAAAAGGCAGGGGCAGCCGAAGCACCCTCTTAGCTGTCTCTTCTCCAGGCTAAACATTCCCAGTTCCCTAAGTTGTTCCTCGTAGGGATTCATGGTTTCCAGACCCGTCACCATTTTAGTTGCCCTCCTTTGGACACGTTCGTTTTTCAACATCCTTTTTTTTTGAATTGTGGTGCCAGAACTGGACAGAGTATTATTCCAGGTGAGGCCTGGCCAAAGCAGAATAGAGTGGCACTATTACTTCCCTTGATTCTAGACACTAGACTTCTATTGATGCAGCCTAGAATTGCATTGGCCTTTTTAGCTGCAGCATCACACTCTTGACTCATGGTCAACTTGTGGTCCACTAGGACTCCTAGATCCCTTTTACAGATGTTGGGTCGCCTTCTTCCCCATCACAGAGGCTGCTCCTCTTGCTGCACCTTGGCCCCGGTGGGGATCTGCCTCCCTCCCTACCATTGGCAATTCAGGTCCACTCTTACAAATCGCTTTTTAAAAATAAAAAGAATGCCAAAAAAAAATAGTGTTCGAAAAGAGAGATTTTTTTTTTTTTTTTTTGGTATTGTCTTGCTTCGAAGCAAGTCCGAACAATCCCCGTTGCATCTGAAACTGTTTCCAATGGGAACGAGGCACATCTAATGCAATCAGAAATTCACTTCAAATCATAGGAGTTTATCACACATGGCGGAAACCATGCCGAAATTGGATTTAAAGTGAAAACAACCCACAAAAGCAGGTTGTTTTTCACACAACGTTCGGGGTTAACCTGAACAGAGAGTAGAAATAACCTGCAAAAGCGGGTTGTTTTTCACACAACATTGGTGTCAAGGAGAAATAACACGACATTCATCCAAACGGAAAGTTTCCAAAGCCCGCTCCTTTTTACTTTTGGGAACTTCTGGTGACTTTCCCTTCGGATTAATGTCGCATTATTTCTCCTTGACACAAACACGTCTGAAAAACAACCCACTTTTATGTTTTCCCCTCCAGATTTTTAAATCCCATTCCTGCACAGGATTTTAGCAATTTGCCTCCATGTGATTTAAGGTCCATCGTGGAAATGAGCCCCGAGAAAGTTGAGAGATTAGGGCAGAAAATAAACAGACAGTGAGCCAGCAGTGTGATGCTGCAGCACAAAAGGCCTAAGTCATTTTAACTTTACAAACAGGGGAATTTTCCTGTCAAGACTAAGCTGAACCATATTGCTTTGCAACACTACCACATTGCCATCAAGTTAGACTCGATGCTCCAAAGACCTTTGTGAAATGATCTCTTTGCAAAGAGGGTTTGTTTTTTAAAATAAGAAAATCTACGGAGGAGGTGGAGGAAGATGTATGAAAGCACGATTAAACCTCCTTGGTTCTTTCCCCCTTCTCCACTCCAACTATCCCATATCTCCATTTGGGTCAAACGCTTTAGACATTTTGTGGAGTAAAGAGAGTTGTTTTTAAAAGAAAAATAACACACAAAACCTATGAAGGTGGATGAGGAGGATGTGTTAAAGCACAAATCAAAATTTAATCCCAAACCAGAAAGTTGAGAGATTAGGGCAGAAAAGAAACAGACCATGAGCCAGCAGCGTGATACTGCAGCACAAAAGGCCAAAGCCATTTTAACTGCACAAATGGGCATTTTCCTCTGAAGACTAAACTGAACTGTATTGTTTTGGATTGAGTCTCTTTGGATTGATTCAGTGCGGCTCTCCATATTTCTCTCTGGCAGCCTCCTTTTAAGATGAACATAGACAAGTTGGAACAAGTTCACAGAAGGGCAAGGAGGATGATAAAGAGATATGGAAAGCAAAGAAATAAATAAATGTTTAGACAGGCGTATAAAATAGAAAGATTTTAAACAGCATCCTGGAGGGTGGTATGTTGTTTTTACATGCTTTTATCTTTTTTAAATTGCATTCTATTTTTTTAAAACAATTGATCCGTTTGAAATTTGCAACCATTCAATTCTGTTTTCATTGTCACTTTTGTACGATTTTAACTGTATTTTTGGTAAGTTTTTAAATTGCAAATTTTGATATTGTAAGACGCTTTGGGTCCCGATTTTGGGAGAAAAGCAGGATGCAAATGAATATAGTAAATAAATAAATAAGTAAATAAATAAATATATTGGGAAAGGTTGAAGGAGTTGGGACATGTTCAGTCCGGTGAAGAGAAGAGTGATGGGTGACATGATCGCTGTCTTTAAATACCCCAAGGACTACTCCAGAGAGTAGGGGAGTAGTTGTTATTTGCTGCCCTAGATGGTAGAATTAGGTCTAATGGTTTGATATTACAAAATATTAGATTTTGATTGACCATTAGAAGGAATTTCTTGACAGTGGGAGAAGTTAAACTTGCAGGCAACCTTTCCCCTTTAAGGGCCGAGGGACTTCAGCTCCCAGAATCCCAGGATCTATTGGCCAACATGGGACTATTGGCCAACATGGCTGAGGCTTCTGGGAGCTGAAGTCCCTCGGCCCTTAAAGGGGAAAGGTTGCCTACCCCGGGTTAAAGCAATGGAAACAATTGCCTGGAAAGGTGGCGGGGGTCTCATAGAATTATAGAGTTGGAAGAGACCCCAAGGGTCATCCAGTCCAACCCCATTCTGCCATGCAGGAACTCACAATCAAAGCATTCAGGACAGATGGTCATCCAGCCTCTGTTTAAAGGCCTCCAAAGAAGGAGGCTCCACCACCCTCCGAGGGAATGTCTTCCACTATTGAACAGCTCTTACTGTCAGGAAGTTCTTCCTAAAATTTAGGTGGAATCTCTTTTCCTGTAGCTTGCATCCATCGTTCTGTATCTTATTCTCTGGAGCAGCAGAAAACAAGTTTGCTCCATCCTCAATATGACATCCTTTCAAATATTTAAACAGGGCTATCATGTCCCCTCTTAACCTTCTCTCCTCCAGACTAAACATCCCCAGCTCCCTAAGTCTCTCTTCATAGGTTTTGGTGGTTTCCAGACCCTCCACCATTTTGGTTGCCTTCCTCTGGACATAATCCAGCTTCTCAGCATCCTTTTTGAATTGTGGTGCCCAGAACTGGACACAGGATTATTCCAAGTGAGGCTTGACCAAAGCAGAATAAAAGTGGCACTATTACGTCCCAGATCTAGACACTATACTTCTATGGATGCAGTCTAAAATCGCATGGATGTCTCCAAAAAGAGGCTGGACAGCTCCCTTGCTGGGAATACTGTAGCTGGAGATCTTGTATTGCTCTCAAAAGGGTTGGAATTGATGCCCTTTGGGGATCCCTTCCAATTCCAGGATTCTATCAAATGATTCTTCATTATAGCATTTTCAATTCCTCCGCAGTTTTCCCCCCTGCAATGGAAACTCCTTATCTCAACTGCAAAAGTAAGAAAGTAAGATGAAGCAAAGGAGACCGCAGGTGCGGATGAACACCTACACACTTTCACAGCCATAAGAAGTAGAAGCTTGATTTTTAAAAACAGCACCAAAGCTAAGATTTCTTTCCATCAGCTCTGGCCCTTGCAGAACTGTAAATTTCGTTTCTCCTGTGAAAGCCAGAGTGGCATAGTGATTTGAGTGTTGGATTAGTACTCTGGAGACCAGGGTTCGAATCCTGAAAA